TGGTGAAATTAGCTGTGCTTAAGGATTTTGTAGCCTATCACGAAAAATAAAAGTTAAAATTATCATTGTTTCAATCATTACCAGTATCGTTCTTATCATTTATTCGTTGTAAAAACAACAACAACAAATCAAACAAACATATCGAGTGTTATCTTTATCGCTGTTACTATTATCATAATCATCATCAACATTATCGACTATTTGTTCATAGAATAAATATAAGGACAAGAAAAATGTGTGTGTTTGGAGAAAAAAACGTCAGAAAGAGATGGATCTTTGTTAGAACAGCTTTATATTGGTTTGTTTGCAGAATCCCAGTGTGGCGGTCCATTTACCATTCTGGCAGGTCGCCTGAGAGGCGCCACCGGCCACTGTTTGTCCCGGTGGACAGCTTAGCACCGCCAGTGCTCCTGACGGGAAATGCGGTTGCTCAACTCCCTGTAATCAGCCCACAATCAACAGAACTATCAAAAGCCAAAAAAAAGCAGGCGGCAATCTTTACCGCTTATTCTTCGACGCTGTATTTTGTTGTTCATATGTGAATTCCTATGCATAAAACTGGCACCTGCATGCAGTTACCAAAACTCGGCTCGGCTGGATTGAGAGACGCTCTCGTTTCTCTGGATTAGTAGGATGGCCCGGCCAGTTAGAATGGGTATCCCATGTTAGTGATGTTACTGGACGCTCTCAAATGCTGGGAGCAGCTATTTCAGGCTCTTCGATTTTGGATCAGATTATGCCACGGATTAACTTTCAATAATCAATCCCTTTGGCTCAAAGAACAGACCCTAAAATTATTCCTTTCTCGGGGATATAAATTTCCGGAACCAAAAAAAAAAAACGAGGTTTGAAACTTTTAAAATTTGCGGAACGCTACTAACAGAGGTTGGAAAGCAAATTCGTGAATCTTAGTACGCCTGAGCCCTTTGAATCCAGTTTCTTCAAGACTGTGACGCCTATGCCTTTCTGGCCTAACTATATCAACTCTATGCTGTTTGACCTCTGATTCATAAAAATACCTGTAATTTCAGTGACTCGAAACTCTAGCGTGTAACATAATTACAGTAGTTCACTACAGAGAATCGATCCGAAAGATTTAGGCCCTAGTGAATTTATTTTTAATGGATAAAATAATAACTCCAAGAAAATCAAAGTAACTTACCGGCAGATAGGTTATGGTGCCCATTTCATGGCTCACTGGGCCACATTTCTCAGCAGAACTTGGCGTGGAAGATCCAGATCCAGATGAAGACAGCGCATTGCATGAGCCTGAAAGGGATTTCCAATCGTCCTATTTTCTCCTTTCGTGCAAAAGAAAGCCTGCTTTTTCAAAAATTCCGAGAATCGGTATGGAAAGCCCATGCTAATGATGTTACTGGACTGCTCTCACACGA